CTCATCGCTCAATGACGGTCACTGCCCTCAAAATAACACGAATAACATAATATTGCACTGTACAAAATCAATCATTAGTCATTATCGACAAGATGGCTAACCTGGCTACCGGCTTTTTATTTCGTTAATAAACTTGGCTGTAAACTTGATTAATAAAAAAATAAATTTTTCTTAAAGATTATCAAGGAATTACTAGTTTAACATTGTAGACAATTGAAAAAAACCAATAAAAACTGCACAGAAGTTCTTCTCCTCAAACGTATGGTCCTACAAAAACAGATATTAATCGAGATTTTAATGTAAGCTACAACTGTCTGCTGTGTAAAAATATTTTATAAATTTTAGTTCTTTGTATATACTAAAATATATTTGAAAAACCAATGCCCTCTGCCAGTGGCGATAATTAAAACATTTCAACATCAAGAACTAATGCGCTTTAAGTAGGCTATATTTTAAAAATTTGAAGTAAGTTTTTAATTATTACCGCCGGCAGAGAACTATTCCTTTTTTATGCATGATCTTTTAATATATAGGTCGAAACCTACAATAAACGATCGATCTACGTGTGCTTTTTTGTGCAAGTTCTCTGCACGTTACAGAAAGATTTTGTACAACTATTTTGTAATTTTCTACGATAAAACTGTTTAAAATGAATTAAATGTTCTCCAATATAAACGACTTTCGAAATTTTCAGCTCACCTCCCAACAATAGCCATCCCTGAATAACATCCATTTTGACGGTCTTGTCAGTGGCCGTTTTTCATAGATTTAATCGTCTTAATAAAGTTTTAGAATTAGTTTTTAAAACGTATCTCAGCCTTATACTAACAAATTATATTCGAATATTTTTTTAAATATTTAGTGTCATAAGCATAAAATTCACGGTTTGAAAAAATTATCTCTGTATAATACAGAAAAAAACTCAGTTAATTATTCTAGAATAATGTTTTAAATGTTACACATATTGTTGAAGCGACAAAAAATAAATTAAATTTTTGGCACATGTTTTATTATACAGCACAGAAATTATTATTACACTCACAAATTTTAAAGTTTGCTCGTTCTGCAACTACATGTACTTCCAGCATCTATACTATTTGCCAAACGAGACCAGGAAGCCACTTTTTGTGGTGTCTTTAATGACTTTTGTTGCCGCGGCTTTCGCTCTACTAGGTATTGAAATCTACAACTTCTTTCTCGTTTTAGGGAACAGAAAAAAGTCTACGGGGACCAATTCAATGAAATAAGGGAAATGGGGATGTACTGTTTGCCTGATCAGAAACGAATGGAATGTCATAGTGGAAGTAGCAGTTGCTATGGCATCACAAAAAAACAAAAAAAATAATAAAAACGTTCCATTTTTGCCTTTTGTTAATATTTAATTATAGAATCAATCTTTGAAAATACCAATTTTATTAACACATCAGCATAATATCACCAATATACAAATCAATAAATAAAACTAATGCTTTGCTTAAAAGTAATAAATATGTGACCTTTCGCCCTTCGATACTGACGCTGTATTGTTTTGTTACTATGAAATTATGCATAGTAATATACAATAATTGTAAGTTTTATTAAACTTAATCTTACAAGTTTACTGTGAGTATTAAAAAACATGAATGTGAGATAAACAAATTAAAATAAAGGTATGCTGGAAAATTGAAAGTCCAGATTATCAAGATTGTACTGTATTAACATGTAAAACAATTTTTAAAATTACAAGAAATAACCATTGATTTTTATTTTCTTTTTATAATGTTTAATATTTTACATACAAATTTAATGTTTTTATACAGTTGCATGGTGTGAAACAATTNAATGTTTTTATACAGTAAACGTGCTTGAAATTTCAAAACTCATCAAAAATATTTTCTTATTAAATTCTTATTTATTCTTATTTTTGTTCAACTTTTAGAATATTGTTTAGAATATATTAACAATATTCTAAAAGTTTAAGTCTAAAATTTACTTTTAAAAAAGTTTTAAATTATAAATTTTATAATTTAAAAAAATTTTTAATAATCATAAAATTCGTTCTATAAATGAAAAATATTAAATAATAGGAATATGAAGTTTTGTGAATATAAAACTTTTGATTTAAAAATATTTCAGTAGCTAGTAAGTAATTAAAAGTCATTGCAAATTTCATAAATTTTATTTAATTAATCTATTTGTTAATAAAAAAATATAAAATGAAGGCATGATATTTGAATTTATTTTATGTATACTCCTGTTAACATTTATTTTCTTATTAGAATCAAACCTTCAATAACGTCCATTTCTAAACGTCGGCCATTTTTTCAAGAACGTTTCTTTATAAACCGAAATGCATACAAAATAATCTTCAAACAATGACCATTCTCAACAACGGTTATGACCGCTAAAAATCCTATTTCTCATCGCTCAATGACGGTCACTGCCCTCAAAATAACACGAATAACATAATATTGCACTGTACAAAATCAATCATTAGTCATTATCGACAAGATGGCTAACCTGGCTACCGGCTTTTTATTTCGTTAATAAACTTGGCTGTAAACTTGATTAATAAAAAAATAAATTTTTCTTAAAGATTATCAAGGAATTACTAGTTTAACATTGTAGACAATTGAAAAAAACCAATAAAAACTGCACAGAAGTTCTTCTCCTCAAACGTATGGTCCTACAAAAACAGATATTAATCGAGATTTTAATGTAAGCTACAACTGTCTGCTGTGTAAAAATATTTTATAAATTTTAGTTCTTTGTATATACTAAAATATATTTGAAAAACCAATGCCCTCTGCCAGTGGCGATAATTAAAACATTTCAACATCAAGAACTAATGCGCTTTAAGTAGGCTATATTTTAAAAATTTGAAGTAAGTTTTTAATTATTACCGCCGGCAGAGAACTATTCCTTTTTTATGCATGATCTTTTAATATATAGGTCGAAACCTACAATAAACGATCGATCTACGTGTGCTTTTTTGTGCAAGTTCTCTGCACGTTACAGAAAGATTTTGTACAACTATTTTGTAATTTTCTACGATAAAACTGTTTAAAATGAATTAAATGTTCTCCAATATAAACGACTTTCGAAATTTTCAGCTCACCTCCCAACAATAGCCATCCCTGAATAACATCCATTTTGACGGTCTTGTCAGTGGCCGTTTTTCATAGATTTAATCGTCTTAATAAAGTTTTAGAATTAGTTTTTAAAACGTATCTCAGCCTTATACTAACAAATTATATTCGAATATTTTTTTAAATATTTAGTGTCATAAGCATAAAATTCACGGTTTGAAAAAATTATCTCTGTATAATACAGAAAAAAACTCAGTTAATTATTCTAGAATAATGTTTTAAATGTTACACATATTGTTGTAGCGACAAAAATAAATTAAATTTTTGGCACATGTTTTATTATACAGCACAGAAATTATTATTACATTCACAAATTTTAAAGTTTGCTCGTTCTGCAACTACATGTACTTCCAGCATCTATACTATTTGCCAAACGAGACCAGGAAGCCACTTTTTGTGGTGTCTTTAATGACTTTTGTTGCCGCGGCTTTCGCTCTACTAGGTATTGAAATCTACAACTTCTTTCTCGTTTTAGGGAACAGAAAAAAGTCTACGGGGACCAATTCAATGAAATAAGGGAAATGGGGATGTACTGTTTGCCTGATCAGAAACGAATGGAATGTCATAGTGGAAGTAGCAGTTGCTATGGCATCACAAAAAAACAAAAAAAATAATAAAAACGTTCCATTTTTGCCTTTTGTTAATATTTAATTATAGAATCAATCTTTGAAAATACCAATTTTATTAACACATCAGCATAATATCACCAATATACAAATCAATAAATAAAAAAATATTTTCAAATAACTGAAGTTCACTCAGTTTGGGACCCCATTTTCTCTAATTCTGGAATGTGTCCCCGGTTGAACTGTAAATGATACGTCCGCCTACAAAAAATCGCTTTCAATATTGCGTTGACAAATGATATGAACTCTAGCAAAAGTATGTAGCTGCAGAAGGTGCTTATTTTGAAGATGGCCTTCCGTAAATATTAACGTAATAAAAAGTTATAATAAAAGTTTGATTTATTTTCAACTCTACAGCATAAAACTTGAAAAGTATTATTACAATAAAATACTAGTATACAAAATGTTCTTCATAAATCTGATTTTACTATTAAATTCTGAGTTCTCAATGTTATGTCTAAATTTTAACCGTATGATAAGATTTAAAGCGTATTTAATAAAAACACATATCTGAGTTCTATTTATCGAACCAGATAACTATTTATGCTAACGAATGAATATTTAAAGTATCAATCTTATTGATTTCTATAAATTCCATTTGATCCTGTTTATTATTATATTTCTTTATATTATATACTTAAAATATATTTCGCTATTTATTTCTATGTAAACTTGGTTAATAAAAAAATAAATTTTTCTTAAAGATTATATATTGCTGCTTTAATAATTATATTGCCGCACTACTGCTGCTTTAGATTATTTTTTAATTTACCTTAACCTTACAGAAATAATTAATTAACCTTACAGAATATACCTTCCAAACAGCTTTGTTATTATATAAATATATTATATCAATTAACTAATCGAAACTTTTGTCAAAGTAAAAAAATGAATAAATTGTAGCATATAAAATTCATTACTGTTTTAATACTTAAACAATATTTTGATTTAACCTAATCTTTAGTATATTATTGATTACTGATTAAACGCAATTGAAAAAGAAATATTAAATTGTATATTAATATTTGCAAATTTACTAATTCAATCTGAACTTAATTATTGAAAGATTGTTTAAATTAATTGATTAATTTCAATTGTTTATTCAAATCGTAATGACTTTCTGATTATAATCGATCAATGTGCAGCACTAAATTACTGCTTAACCTTTTCCTCTGATACACTAACAATATTGATTTGCTGGTAAACGGAATGGCAATGTATTGTTCAATAAAGAATTGTTTCTTTCAACAAAAGAAGTATGATATTTATAAATTATCTGAAACAGATATTTGCCAGGTATATTTAAATCATTTATGGTATCATTAAAGCTACTTAACATCGTTTCTCTCTTCTCAAGATAGAAACGATATTGAAGAGTTTACTTATTTATTTAAATAAAAATAGTGCAACCGTATTTCTAGTCTTATACTATATATTAGGTTCTTCGAACGACTTAAATTTTATTTTAAACACATTTATTATAAATATTTATAAGTTCTGTCATCTTGTTTACTTTACGTAAATTTATTTTATTACGAATTTTTAAGAAAAATCCATTACTGTAATAAATCATCATCTACATGAATAATTTAATTTGTGTATATGAATGAGGATATTTGTTTGGACGTTTATTCACCATGCACGCCTATGCCGTTCGGCCAATTGTTACGAAACTCTGAAGTTACGTTCAAATACATCAAACTTGGATAATGTCATACATCCCACCCAAAATTTCCGATTGGATTTCTACATATTGATTAATTTCTGTCAACATTTGATTGCTGGCTCTACATGTAGCACCATCTATTAGGAAAAATTTAACAAAATAATTAAGTAAGTATAACTTTTACAAAAAATGATATAAAGAAAATGATAAATGATATATATGAATTTAAAAATATATATATTATATTCACTGAATTATTGTGACAATGATAAAGCGGGAAATAGACTTACCATTATGTCATTACTGCGACAGGTAGCACATAGCACTTGCCTGCGTGGTATAGTAGTGTTTTGCCCCTGGTACACCATACTTTTCCTGTTAGCAATAAAGTCGTGCCAGTTATGTTTATAACTCCGTTCAGGTAAAATTTTTAAATTGAAGTAACGTGATTTCCGATAAAAAGTGAAAGTTTATTTATAATTAATCTGGGTCTCCTGTTCATGAGCATTCCATATCTGGTCTTGACATTTAGCTATCTGACAACATTCTCGAGATTAAAAAGAACAGACAAGCAGACGGACAAACAGTAGAAATATATAGATTTACAATTTTTCAAATTGCAGCTTAACAAATTGCATCCTAATAAGTACCCTCCAATAACAGGGTCTATAAAACCGCCAAACACCGGCAGTCGGCCTTGGGTTCGCGCATCGTCAACGAAAATTTTCTGAGTTAGTAACACATAAATAAGTGTCAACTTTACGGGATCACATAAAAGCAATTATTCTCGCATTTTACGAGATTTATTTATTTAAACATGTCTTATAAATCTTTCGGACGTTAAGATTAGCAACTTCGAGCAACAGCCCTTCTTTCTATCAGACCCACCGTTACGATGGCGATCGAATAGGACAATTACATAGTACAAGGTTACTGCCGAGCACAAAATATGTTTTAAGTGGTTTTCCAAGATGCCAAGTTTAAATATTTGGTCCATCTTTCTTCAAATTTGATTCATTGAAAGATTGCCGTTTGATATTCGGCTGTGAATGGTACAGTTTGTTAGAGCTAACATTAGAAAATTTTAAGATATCATAGAAAACAATTGGTGTCTACTTGACCAATGAAACTGTGCCATTTTGTACCATCCAAGTATCGCGATAAACGTGACAATGGTAGAATAAAATAACCAAACTCTTTATATGGTTTTCGTTTTAATATTTATTATATTACAGTATTTAATTTATATAATTACAAAGGTTATCTTACGTAGGGGTTTATCACACCGAGTGATCAATCTAACACATTTTAAAAATTCTTTAAATTGTGTACAGTAAAAGAATTTAGAATTTTAAGTAAGAATTTAAGTAAGTTAGAATTTTTGTTAAGACAATATAATCTCACCAAATAATCTTACTATTTGGTAAGATTACATATTATATTACATTGTACTATTAGTTTATGTAATCTTACCAAATAGTAAGATTACATAAACTAATAGTACAATGTAATATAATAGAAGGATTAGAAGTACGAAATAATCTTAATGTTTGTTCTTATTAAATGACTGTAGTAAAAATTTAAAATATGCATAATAAAATTCTTAAAACACGTTATAATTAATTATTTTTTATGAAAAATGTTTTATACATATCATAAAAGTTTCAGAATTTTCCAAGGTTTTTGAAAGAACAGTTTAATGAAATGTAATTGCAAATGGAATGTTATAACAGTTCAGAAATAATTATAATTTCATGCATTTTATTATAATCATTTAGGTTTGTAAAATATTAAATAAAAATTGAATAAAAAATATTATCTACGCTGAATATTTTTGTATGTTCTATTAATATTGTAAATAATATACTATTGTCATATCTTTCCTAAATGGTTTTTAATAATTCAGTTGAGTAAAAGTTATAAAAGTAAACAGAAGTTGTTTACTGTTAGAAATATTCTTTTTAAAAATATATTTTTAAATTATAAAATATATATGTAATTTTTCAGTAGAATTTATATGGTGTAAGGCCAAGTTCAGTGTTGAAGACAGCTGTTCATTATATTGATTCAAGTTATAATATCCAACGACAAATCCATAGCCAGCTGTTCTATAAAAGTAATTTAGTTGTTATTATTATAGTTATTTCTTATTAATTTCATATTTTATTTTAGTACAAGGTTTCTATCCTCTGTACGGAAAACAAAACATTAGAAATTTATTAAACAAACAGAATATGTACAAAACTCAATAATCACAAAAAAAATATTAATCACTGACCAAACTATAACGTCCTGGTACCAAAATAATAAAAATAAATAATACAAAAACAGTATTACACTAAAAAAAACAAAGAGGAAAGCAATAGTAATAAAATTTACACCTACTTAGTAAAAATATAAAAACTAAGTGTTATAGAAAAAGATAAGTAATAAGTCATTATAGCTGTCAGTACCAGATTAAATCTTAAAGGCAATGTTGGGCTGCAATTTATAATTATCTTTTAAATTTTAAATTCACGTGACTTTTGATTCAGACCGGAAGTTCGTATATAGTTAATTGGGGTCTCCAATACCTAAGCTTTCCGTAATTTTAGTAATGTTTTGTCCCTGTACAACATACTTCTCCTTATAACAATCGAATCATGCTGATCATCTCTCTTATTCCGTTCTACAAAAAATTTTGAATTGAAATCACGTGACTTTAATTTATAGTTAATCGGGACATCTGTTCCCTAAACTATCCATATCTGGTCTCGAATTTCTTCTGTCTAACTTCATTCTCGAGATTGATGAAAGATAGGCGGCCATAAGGACGGTTAACAGTGCAATTTGAAAATTCTAACCAATAAAGAAATTCAAAATATTCTTACAATAAAGAATAATGATATCGCTCCCTAAAATAAAATATTAAGAACAAAATTTGTAAAAATGAGAAATAAAATTAAACATAAATTNAACATGGATTATTTATTTATTTATTCTATCGTTCTTAACGAAAAAATATTTTAAGAAGGTTTAAAATTTCATACTAAAAACTTTCTGTATATTTATAAAGTTTAAAAAAAATCATTTTTTTTAATTTATTTTCTCAAGTGATGATTTTTTTAATAAAAATGTTCAAGTTTAATTAAAATGACATTTCAAGAGAAATTTGATCTCTTTTGATGATGTCAAGTTTTTTCCCCTAAATAATTTTCTAAGTAAAGGGAAACTAGATTCTCACCCAAAAACTAATATCTAAGATACAAAAGGTGTCGACGTAAGAAAAAATTAATTTTAATCAAATTAATTTTGCATATTGATATATAATTATTTTTAATAAGCGAATATTATTGATTAAATATGAATAATACAACAGCCTATTTAATTAACAAGCAACTTACAGTCATAATGTTTGCTTAGAAGGGATATTAAAACTAATGCAGTTTGATCAAGAAGGACTTCACCTCTGCGTGAATGGCGATAAATTCATTAGATAAATTGATCTACCGCGTACGGTAAATATAAAAATATAACATAGAAACACTGTGAGAGAATAATTCATGGTGTAATGTATAAGATTTATCGAAATGTTATTTTGTTTTAAGAATAGAATGACTTTTCTTAATTGGATATTATAAGAATAATATTGACCAAGTCTAGAAAGGATTATTAACGCTGTAAGCAAAAACTTATGCAAAGCATGATACAGTAAACGTAAAAACTATTATCCTTTGAATATTTAAAAGGCTCCTAGATATTTTTTAAAGTTAAAATAAGCAAAGCTTATTTGCCCAGGATATTGTAATTCACCAAGAAAAGAAGCATCGAAGCAAATATTTTTAATCAGGCTTTATCCAATTTAATAAATTTTGTAAATTTTATTTATACATTAGTTTGTGGAATATTTTATATACTGTAATTAAAAGGAAATCATTTAAAATTATTATCGTACCTTCTACATTCTGAAAAACCATTTTAAAATTTCGAATCTTTAATAAAATAATGTACGAAACATACGATACTTGACGTTATAATTTCAATCAAAGTTGTAATTTCATTATCCATTCTTTTATTATTTCGTTATATTGTATATTGTAAATTCAGATTATTTTATTAATAAGTTTTCATATGGTAAGCGAGAAGATTAACGTGAGAATTGTGAAAAACGCTTTTTTCAAAATCGTTTTAATATAATTCATTATAAAGTCTTGATTAATTAGATAACTCCATACTGCACATATGAAGTTCTTAAAGTTTTGAAATCTGATAAAGTGAATATTCAATTATTTATAAGTTACCATAAATATTAGAACTCTTGCACTATAAATTATATGTTAAAAATATCGTATAAAATATTTACATGTATCTAAATTTTTTGCAGAATAAAATTGACAATAAAGTACAAGACCTGTCCTCACAAAATCATAGAATAATTATAGCTATACAGCTTTTTTATTCAAGTATTAACGATGTTCCAAATATAATACTGTACTTCCTTTCAAATCATCGATGTTAATAGAAAAATTGACTTTTATCATTCAAAAAAATCATTTTATGAAATTCTTATGAAATAACTTTAACTATTTTATGTATCTATATTTTATAGTNTTTATACAGATTATTCCCAAAAAATTATACGTATTTTGGAAATGTTGAGTGGAATTAGTCTAGAATCGGTTAATTTTATAGAAGAAAACCTTTCGAACAGCCTTAGTCCGTAAAGTTCCCACCTATCGGGCTGCGATTGGCTCATTCCTACAACGTAATTTTCGGTTAGCGTGGAACGTATCTAAGCGTTATAGGGGGGTCTACTGTAGATACAATGCTTATGTTAAAATTTAGTATTTTGAATTATAAGAAGATATAATTTGCAAATAAACTTCAGAAATATAACATTAAAAAATGAAATTTGAAACTGTTATGATACATATAATTAGAATATTTTAAGTAAGTAAATATTAAATTATTAAACATTATTTTAAAAAAGATATATTTCAAAAAATAATAAATTCATAGTTTTTCTTAAAAAAAAGGTTTTTATTTAAACATAACGAGTTTAGGTTATGCAACAAAAGGTTAAATACAATATTACTCCTTATTCCCAATTATTAATTATTAGATAAATTTCCATTTATACTTAATTATATTTTCATTTAAGTTACGTTATTTCGTTTCGTGATCCTCGCCGTATTTTTAAAAAAAATTTTTTATTAGATTCTGAAAGTAAGAAAATAGAATAGACAAGATATATTGAAAACAATAGAAATGTATTTTAGCATTTTTATTTGAAAAACTTCAAAAACGTTTTGAAGATTTCTATTGAATATCATTCTACCTTTAATATTTAAACGATTTCCATGGAAATTCTATTAAGCAGATTTATGCATTATATAATAATTTGTACGGTAAAAGTGCCGCAAACATAATTCAGTAATTAAAATATATAATTCATATTATGTAAATTTATTCCCTTAATTCCTTTCTAAGATACAAAAGGTGTCGACGTAAGAAAAAATTAATTTTAATCAAATTAATTTTGCATATTGATATATAATTATTTTTAATAAGCGAATATTATTGATTAAATATGAATAATACAACAGCCTATTTAATTAACAAGCAACTTACAGTCATAATGTTTGCTTAGAAGGGATATTAAAACTAATGCAGTTTGATCAAGAAGGACTTCACCTCTGCGTGAATGGCGATAAATTCATTAGATAAATTGATCTACCGCGTACGGTAAATATAAAAATATAACATAGAAACACTGTAAGAGAATAATTCATGGTGTAATGTATAAGATTTATCGAAATGTTATTTTGTTTTAAGAATAGAATGACTTTTCTTAATTGGATATTATAAGAATAATATTGACCAAGTCTAGAAAGGATTATTAACGCTGTAAGCAAAAACTTATGCAAAGCATGATACAGTAAACGTAAAAACTATTATCCTTTGAATATTTAAAAGGCTCCTAGATATTTTTTAAAGTTAAAATAAGCAAAGCTTATTTGCCCAGGATATTGTAATTCACCAAGAAAAGAAGCATCGAAGCAAATATTTTTAATCAGGCTTTATCCAATTTAATAAATTTTGTAAATTTTATTTATACATTAGTTTGTGGAATATTTTATATACTGTAATTAAAAGGAAATCATTTAAAATTATTATCGTACCTTCTACATTCTGAAAAACCATTTTAAAATTTCGAATCTTTAATAAAATAATGTACGAAACATACGATACTTGACGTTATAATTTCAATCAAAGTTGTAATTTCATTATCCATTCTTTTATTATTTCGTTATATTGTATATTGTAAATTCAGATTATTTTATTAATAAGTTTTCATATGGTAAGCGAGAAGATTAACGTGAGAATTGTGAAAAACGCTTTTTTCAAAATCGTTTTAATATAATTCATTATAAAGTCTTGATTAATTAGATAACTCCATACTGCACATATGAAGTTCTTTAATTAATACATTTCATCTAAATAATTAACACATTAAATTTCATAAAAGTTTTATAAATTTATTATTGCGCATTTTAAAATTTGTTTAGTGTTTAATAGTCAGAAAGAATCTATTAGGCATGGGATTTATGTTAAGATAATAACAATTATGAAATTTATATATAAACAAGAGGATCGAACAAAAGAAATGATAGATAATAAGCTAACGAAGACAATATATAGATCCTGTATATCATCTTACGTTCTTGACTTACAGAGGAACATGTAAAAATATTGGTTGTTTGGATATGGCTTGAACTTTTCATTTGAAGCGATCGATACTTGGTCTCATACATAAAAGTCGTATAAAGGTCTCTTGTGGCTAGAATGTGGTAGGCTTGATTTTAAAAATATAAAATTTCAGGTAAAATGTATTAAAAATAGTAATCTAACAAAACAATTTACACAGACGAAATTTTCTTTTAAGAGCATTCACTTGCCTGTTTCAGTGGTAACCGCAAAGGCACAAAAACAAAATACTGTCTCTGCATATTTTCTTTGTTCGTTTTATTATTTTCCAAACTTAAAAACTTTATTTTTTTAAATCACAAAAATTTTATTATACCTAATCAAAAACTAGCATCAAAAATGAACGGAAAAAGCTCTAATAAAAGAAATAACAAGAATAATAAACACGTAATAAGAAATAAAAAGAAAAATAATGAAACAGATTTTTTTAATATATAATAATAAATTCATAAATTCTAAAACAGAACTACAGTCGACCCCCCTATAACGTACGTTCCTATAACGACAATTCCTATAACGTAGCGAAAAAATTGTAGCAACTTTCGTATAACGTACCTCCTAGAACGTCGTTTCGCGACAAGATTGATAGAGTCTGGACCAATAGTGGATGAGCAGCCGAACTACTTTCCTCCGACCCTGCGCCACGCTACGGAGCGGCTAAATTGAGTTTGCTATCGTCTGTTTAGTATTATATATAAATTATATATAAATTAGGTACTGTACATATAATTATATATTAATTATATATAAATTAGGTACTGTATATATAATTATATATTAACTTAATTTATTGTAACTTTATTATAATTATATATATGCTTTCTGCCGCCTGGCAACACGCTACGGAGATTTTAGGCTAGTAAGTTGAGTTTATTATCGTCTGTACAGTATGTAAATTAGGTACCGTAAGTCTAATACAGCACTAATTTTATACATTTCTTGTGAAAGAAACACTTCTTATTCAACGTCCATAAAAATTATTTATATTAATGATGTCTCCAAAGGTCAAGTTATTTTTCCGCCAAAAATTCGTTATCAGAAATTGCGGCCGTCGTTTCGCGTGCTGTTCCGCGATGAAAACCAGCTTTAAGCAACGGCGTAGTCGAACGGTGTAAGTAATCCTACAATTTTTTGTTTATAGCATAGTTTATACAGATTATTCCCAAAAAATTATACGTATTTTGGAAATGTTGAGTGGAATTAGTCTAGAATCGGTTAATTTTATAGAAGAAAACCTTTCGAACAGCCTTAGTCCGTAAAGTTCCCACCTATCGGGCTGCGATTGGCTCATTCCTACAACGTAATTTTCGGTTAGCGTGGAACGTATCTAAGCGTTATAGGGGGGTCTACTGTAGATACAATGCTTATGTTAAAATTTAGTATTTTGAATTATAAGAAGATATAATTTGCAAATAAACTTCAGAAATATAACATTAAAAAATGAAATTTGAAACTGTTATGATACATATAATTAGAATATTTTAAGTAAGTAAATATTAAATTATTAAACATTATTTTAAAAAAGATATATTTCAAAAAATAATAAATTCATAGTTTTTCTTAAAAAAAAGGTTTTTATTTAAACATAACGAGTTTAGGTTATGCAACAAAAGGTTAAATACAATATTACTCCTTATTCCCAATTATTAATTATTAGATAAATTTCCATTTATACTTAATTATATTTTCATTTAAGTTACGTTATTTCGTTTCGTGATCCTCGCCGTATTTTTAAAAAAAATTTTTTATTAGATTCTGAAAGTAAGAAAATAGAATAGACAAGATATATTGAAAACAATAGAAATGTATTTTAGCATTTTTATTTGAAAAACTTCAAAAACGTTTTGAAGATTTCTATTGAATATCATTCTACCTTTAATATTTAAACGATTTCCATGGAAATTCTATTAAGCAGATTTATGCATTATATAATAATTTGTACGGTAAAAGTGCCGCAAACATAATTCAGTAATTAAAATATATAATTCATATTATGTAAATTTATTCCCTTAATTCCTTTAAAACTAACTTAAACTTTATGAATTTTTAGAAATAAATAATTTTTCGTGTCTTATTTATTTAGTTTTCTTCTTTTACATGCATGCTACTCTATTTCAATGAGCATAGATTCAATTGAATAAATTTTAATTTACATTATTTAAATACAGTAATAGAACTATATAATTTATTATGATAACGCTTGCTTGTATTTAAAAATTAAATTTTAAGAATTGAGAAAAATTGAATTTAATTCGTATCATTATTATAAGTAACATCACTTTGATTATAAACTATAAACTATATTCTTGTTAGTAGCTATATTAATAGATGTTAATGTAATGAAACTTCTCAATGACGAACATCTGCGAATAATAGTAAAATTCCGTTTTTGAGAGATGTCTATTATAGAAAAGAAATCTAGAAAATAAACTTATAATTTACAAAAATTTAAATGTGAATATAGAATAAAAGTTTAGAAAAAAATAACTTTTTATTGTTTTAGATGCTTACGTTAAAAGTAAGATGCAAAATAATCCAAAAATGTTGCCTATTTTTTGAGCTCACATTCATGTGAGATGGCATCTATGGTTAACTACTCAATTTCTTTTTAAAAATAATAATAACATCATGTTACTGTTATTTGCAAATCCCTTAACCTGAGAAGCAAGGACGAATTCTTTAAATCTTGGAAAAATAATGGAAATAAAGATATTAAAAGAACATTCCTTAAAATACTGTTAAAAATAATAGCATTGCCCTTTTA